ACTTCAGCAGATGATACAGTGGCTGGTAAGGGTCACAGCGTCTACACCGCAGCCAAGGTAAACCACCGAGATAATATAGTTTTTGAAAAACAAGATGGTTATTATTATTGTCAACTTTTTTACCGGGGTTTACCACCACACCGGTTACCGTGACAACCCTAATAAAAACCAATAAGAACTAAACGGGAGTGACTAGGAGGAAACATGAGGCAAGCCTAGAGGGAGCTGGAGAACACAAGGAGACACACAGAGCACAAGGGGACATATGAGGGGAACGCAGACAACGAACAGGAGGGGGCTGGGGACCAAGGGGACACAGAACATGACAGCTTCGTAACATACACTCAACAAAAATATAAACGCAACACCTTTGTTTCTGCTCCGATTTTTCATGAGATGGACTTAAAGATCTAAAATTCATTCCAGATACACAATATTACCATTTCTCTCAAATCAGTCTAAATGTGTGATAGTGAGCACCTGTGCTTTGCTGAGATGATCCATCCCACCTCACAGGTGTGCCACATCAAGACGTATTGAGCTGTAACAGAGGTAAAGCAGTTCAGATGAGCAGAGTGCATGAAAGACCTTGGCCACCATCTCATGTAGATTAGCCTGTCAGAGACTTTATGTCTCTGCTCGAGCAGACGCAGGTCAAAAACAGGACATTCATGACGCTACCACAGTGTAAGACGTGTAGCACCATCAAACAGTACAGTACACACCAAAACAGCTGTGCTTCAGCGTTGTTGTCATCCATTCCTTCATCCACATACTATGCTTTGACTCCGTCTGCTTCACTCCTACCGGCATTTCTTTACAATTTGTGTTGCTAAAAGCTAACTGGATGAATACCGACGAGCGCAAGTCGCCACCTACCTGAACGGAGAGGAACATACTTCATTTGAACGTTTGATTTTATAACATTTATGTACATTAGATTAAAGGCTACCTGTTATTTGCTGTACGTTGACTTAGATGTGCATGCAAAGGCACTGACTGGCTCCAACAGAAAAACATGGCAGCACCAACAAACGGGACATCAAGGCTTTAACACAACACAAGAAGAAGGCAGACACAGTTTGTCCCTCTATGAAAGAGCTAGTCACCCCCAAATCAACTCTTTTTTTGTTGATAAATTATATAAACGAGTGTCTAATCATGTTGTAGACATGTGTAGTCAATAATTTGGCACTTTAGTGCATTTTAGTTAAAATTTAAATATTCTGCCTAAAACTGTCCGTGTTGAGCCGTCTTCAGGTAAAAACTCCGCACTGCATTTGAATTTAAATCTGCCGTCGCTATTGGCTAAGAGGTACACTATAGTAAGTAGTAAATACATTTTATTTATATAGCACTTATCACAGACGTAGAATCACATAGATCAAAATAAAACAAAGTCATAAAATCATAATGCTCTCATAACTATGGTTAGCTGGTACCATATGATGTCACTATGTTGTTGTGAGCCTGTAAGTGTGTATTTGTTAGCGGCTCCGCCCTCTCGGTCTGCCAGGCAACAGCATTTGTTGCATTTTTCAAACAGGAAGTAGGAGTGGGGTAAGACTAAAGTAGGGCGTGACTTGCTCTTTAACAATCACGGCAGAATGTGCTGACTTCAGGTTCAGCTGCTGATTAATAACAAAAACAAACCTTTCAGCTGAACTTTAACCAGAAGTAGACAGTCAGTTTGGCTTTTCTTTAATATGTTTTGACTTTCTCCTTCTCGTAGTCTAAATGATAATGTGTTTGTTTACTATCTCTGTTACGCAGCGACGTCCTCTTGGCCAGAGGCGCATGTTTCCCTAATAAATGTTAACACTAAATGTGTCTGCTTTTGGTGCCCAACCGCTATCAGTCAGACCAGAAACCCCCTTGGGGGGGTTTGGGGTGCCGCTGCACTTTATAAATAACGTATTTTCTAAACATATAAAAGAACAAACGCTGCTAACCAGTGCTGGGAATTACGTCCTGTTAAAGACCCGCGGACGAAACGAGTGCCTTCGTGGAAACATGGCTCTGCTCTCCGTCCACTTCCAAACAGACAGCTGCTTACACACAGTCTGCACATCATAATAAACACATGAGCTGAACACCGTGTTTTCACCCAGCAGAACCTGAAATTCTCACAGAAATGGGCGCGAGGCCAACGGTGAACACAACACCCTGCAGTAGATGCACTGCGGAGCTGATAATGGAGGACTAAATGTAAGGATTCTTCAGGTCCCGCTCTACAACAGGTCGGACCTTTTAGTTTTGCAGGGATGTGATGTCACAAGAGGCAGGTGTCATTATAGGAAACATATTATGTTGCACTTCACTTTTTTGAGAAATGTTTTTGTTTATTCACTTCTCATATCACACTTCTGTTAATTAGCATTTTATTCTGCAGGTGAGGTCATGAAGATTAGAGATTATATTGTGCTTATGAAAGAAAAACAAGTGAATAAAAGTTATGGGGCTGCATTCTTCATTAAAATGATGTGTTGCCTTTAAAGCAGAGGTTCACCAAAAAACACACATATTTGTAATTTTTGAAGTCTGATTAGTCATTCTGAGTTCCACCAGCATGCGGAGTGTGAAAATAGCCTTCAGGCCCTACTTCCTGGATGAGCTGCAGAAAGAAAATAGCTGAGGAAAGGCTTGGGTCAGAAAAGGTCACGGGAAAATATCAGAATCCAAGCACTCAACCGCCTTAGCTGCGACCGCACAAGGCTGTTGTTGATTCAGTGTCCAGGAGAGAGCAGAGCGTGTCTTTGTGAGTAGAAGCTAACTGTTAGCATTAGCAACCCTACATTGTGTGTGTGTGTGTGTGTGTGTGTGTGTGTGTGTGTGTGTGTGTGTGTGTGTGTGTGTGTGTGTGTTCATCTCGCTAGTCTGTTTAGATACACAAAAATTATCACATTTATCAATCGCAGTGTTTCTTTTTATTTTGTTAAATTTATCGGCCTGCCTCTTCTGCTTTTGACTTCCTGCCAGAATTGACGCGGCTCACGAAAAATGATCACTGCACGGCGCGAGCCTTCGTGGCGCTTCGCAGTTGATGCGACCGAGAGCGTAGGTTAACAAGGGCGGTGGGGTGAGGGGCCGGTGGCGCCTGTACTCATCAGCCTCGCTTCCATCCGTTCTCCCAATGCAGCTGAGGCTACATTGTAGCTCATCACCACCAGCCTGTGTGTGTGTGTGTGTGTGTGTGTGTGTGTGTGTGTGTGTGTGTGTGTGTGTGTGTGTGTGTGTGTGTGTGTGTGTGTGTGTGTGTGTGTGTGTGTGTGTGTGTGTTACTAAAAATGTGTTGTAAAGCGCCTTGGGGGGTTGTTGAGTCCTACAAGCCATTTACCATAGATGTTTAGGAGCAATGAGACAGCTAAACAAGTGAATGTTGGCTAGAGAGAAACACTTGTAGCACTAAGGAGCCCAAAGTGTGTCGTATGTAAAAGTGCAGCTCAACCTCCAGAATTCCTTCAGTTTTTCAAGTTTTTTTTTTCTTTTTTGCATCTTTCACCCAAAATGTCATTCGTCTTTGTTCAGCTGATCAGTCAAGTTCATTCAGGTTGGCAGAGGCTAAAGGTGGCCCGGATACTGGAATGTTTTCACTGCTTAATACTTTGATGCCAACCAAGTCCCAACCCAATTTAATGTGTTGGTTTCGATGTTTAAACAATCTCATGTTTGAGTTTGTTGAAGGAGGATCAGTTCTTCGAGAGCCACGTCAACACGGCTCAGACTCTCCAGAGACCTCCCTTATCGACTCAATCGGTCAGCGTAACATTTTACTAAAAATGGTGAATTCCTTAACTGAAACGTCTCATCTGTCCGGCTCACACTGAAAAAGAAAAACCTCTATTTTGTATAAAAACTGCAAAGCTTTCCACATAAAAGCCTTTTGTGACTCATAAGCAAACATTAACTGTGTTTAATCTGTTAAACTGTTTAATCAATACATCTGCAGTCATCACTAGTAGGAATGAATGCCTTAAGTCGTACTCTGGCAAAAAAAGCTCTGGCGCAGCAGTTTCAGGAGCTAGAAAACTGAGAGCTCCAGAAAGCAGGATCTGGGGTCTTATTTCCTGATATTTGGATATCTCACCTCTGATTGGCTAACAGCACAGCAACTCTGACTCTGTTTGCTCTGCAACGCTGATGTTTTATCTCCACAAAGGACACAAACCTGGAGGAGTTCTGCTGTGTGGTGGAGTTGCTAATGCTAACAGTTAGCTTCTACCAGCCAAGACGTTCTCTGCTGTTTCCTGGACGCTAAACCAACAACAACCTTCCCCGTTGGGAGTCAAGAGGGGTGAGTGCATGAACGTTAAGTGACAGTGTGACGTAGATCTGTCGGGCTTTTCTAATCCTGGAGTTTCACCGTCTATCTTCTATCAGAAGCTAATGCAGGAGATAGGTGTAGGAGACTATTTTCATGTTCAGCCTGCATGAAAACCTCAGAGTGACCCGTTATCATCAGAAATTGGAATTAAAAAAATGTTTGTCAGTGAACCACACCTTTAAATAGGAACACGTTCAAAGCAAATATGAGACAAAGTCAACGTAACGACAACTTGCTGTTTCTTTGAACCGCCCTAGGCTGAAAGGTGAGAGGATATGACATCGTCATATTTGTACCGACCTGTCTTATCACAACAAGTGACAATCGTCATCATTCTTCACCAATCCACACCTTGTATGACGAATTCACAAAGCACTGAAGACAATGGATCCCATTTAAAACGTTACTATGAACCAGTTTTGCTGGAAAATCGGCAAACAGGAATTTGACCACTTGTCTGCAGTTTAAGAACTTTTCAGACATCCAAACAGGAGAGAAAAGTTCTATCATCCTCTAACTTTATGCTAAATTTGCCAAATACGTCACGTTTTGACCCTGGTCTTAATTCTGGAAGCACACACAGAGAGGGAATGTTTACACAGGCAGCCTCTCTGTGCTTCATAAGTCCCAGCCAATCACACGCAAGGCCCGCCTTCTTTTTCTGTAGCTGGAGTAAAACTATAAAGCAACCTGACAAGCCAAGAGGGAGAAGCAGACGAGTCTGAACCATGAGAGGAAACCTCAGCGCTTCGACCGTCAGCATGGCTTTCACCGACTGCATCAAACCCACCGATCTGCTGTTGGAGAAAAGGGCGATGACGTAAGTTCATGTCGTATTGTGTGATTTGTTTGGTTTGGATCGTGCAAAAGAAGCTTTACTGAGAGATGTGTGGACGTTTTCTAACAGGAAGAAAAATTGGAGGAACAGAATTAGAGTTTTGTTGAAGACAAACCCGTCTCAGACGACACCCAAAAACCCCACATCATGCAGGTAATTTCCATCCACTTCATAATTAGTGCATTTTTGAAGGGGATACCATTTAAATGCACACTTTGCATTCACTTCAATTACATTTTGAGCACATTTATTCACATAGTCTGACGTGCTTTTTACACATTTGCGTGTGATTGCATTTGTCACAGTAAACGCACAAGCAGGACAGGCTTTGCAACAAAGTCAGTTTAACAAGCAGCCAGTTGTTTTTGCACTGCAGCGGCGTTTCACCTTGTTAATCAATGGGGTGGGTTTGCAGTGGGACCACAAAAGCAGCAGCAGCAGCAGCTATAATTATCTGTTCTTCACCCTCAGGCCAACTGTTGATGACGTGAACCAATGGGCGCAGTCGCTGGACAAGCTACTCAGTCATAAATGTGAGTATAATTCTGCCAGAGCGCCGTTGCATAAAGATGTCTCTGAGGTAACGCTGGGAGGTGGATAAAAGCTGTTTCATCGGCTTCAGTAAAGCAAAGCTTATAACGGCTCTGGACTCACTTTACCTTCCAGTAATGGACAAACAGTCGGTGAACGATACTGTCTCACACACACTTCTCCGTCTGTCGCCTCCTCCCACAGATGGGAAAACTGCCTTTTGTGTCTTTCTGAAGTCGGAGTTCTGTGAAGAGAACATCGAGTTTTGGACGGCGTGCGAGGACTTCAAGAAACTCACGTCACGTAGAGCTCTGGTGTCCAAGGCCAACAGCATCTACAAGGAGTTCATCCAAAGTGAAGCTCCCAAAGAGGTAATCCCATTTTCAAATTCATATCCTGGTAAAATCATAAAAAAGTTTCTGATTTTCTTGGAGGTTAAAGGCTCATTTTGCACATTTCTTTGGTCACAGATTAACTTGGATTTCCAAACCAAAAATGCGATTGTCCAGAGTCTCAAGGATCCCACTTCAACTAGCTTCCAAGCAGCTCAGAAGAGGGTCTACAACCTGATGGAGAACAACTCCTACCCCAGGTTTATCAGCTCGGACCTGTACAGTGAACTGTGTGCAGTTGCCAGGGGAGAGAGCAAGCTCATAAAACCCTAGGCAAAATAAAACCCACGCTCCAGGTCGTTTGTTTACAGCTGCAACGGCGAGTCGAGAGGGGGTGATGTTCATCTCAGGGTCTGGTGCAAATGATAGGCCTGAATGCAAATTCTGGTCATGAACAGTGGCGGCCAGTGTGGAAAATTCAAAGTGGTGCCGCCGTTCCGTCCTGCTGAGTGACTTTTTAAAGGAAGCTGGATGGATTGGGCAGGATGTTGTGTGATGCTGCAGGAAGTGTGTGGAGCACGATGAGATTAAGGTGACATTGCGAGGTCATTACACAACTTTTAGTGTCAACGTTTGAATTTCAAGCAGCTTTATGACTTTTTATGCAATTTTGAGCCTCCAAGAAAACATTGTTGGTGCACTGCTGCACAGGAGCCCAAGATGATAAAACATGAAGCTCGTAAAAACATAAAATCATCATGAAACAGCAGCGCCGTGAGGTTTCGCGTGGTAACAGGAAACACTTTCTGCACAGGAGTCACGCACGCTCCTGTGAAACGGTGGCTTTAGGTTTTATTTATTCACTGCTGCGTTTGCGCCAGTTTATGCAAAAATGCTACTTCAGTTTGCACGACGATGTCAACATTTTCCACAGATGTGGAACACCTGTGAGGATGTAAATATTTTGATACTTTGAATGTTGAGTGTTCAAGCTTTGGGCAGCTGGTCTGCTTGTGAAATAAAAGTTATTTCTAAACTTCTTGTAAATAAATTTCTTTAAAAGTGTAAAAAGTGTAAAAATATTTTAAGCTAAGCTACTTATAGCCTTCATCTGGCCCTTTTCCTACACGACTCAGGCCTAGTCCACACGTAGCCGGGGTTTTTTAAAAACGAATATCCGCCCCTCCAAAAACTTGCATCCACACCACCGCGTTTTAAAAACAAAACTCTGTCCACACATACCCGGATAAATACGTTGTTAAGGACATGCCAGACCTGTAGGCGGCAGTACTTCCCCCGTTCTTAACCTCGTCCTTCGTCTGTGGTCTTCCACAAGGAGCAGTAATTCCGCTTGCAAAAACAAACAAGCAGAAAGCGCTTGGACAATTGATGGATCGGGTAGTGACAGAGCGCAGCTCTGAGGGCATCCATGATGCCGGCTAGTGTAAACACAGGTCGCACACGTGATGTCAGCATTTTTTTGTCGCAGAAAGTGACGTTGCGGACCTTAAAACTCCGGTTTTGTCTGTCCACACGCAGACACCCAAAACGGAGAAAACGCAGATCTTCACTTTGGCCGGAGTTTTTAAAAAGATCCGTTTTCGTGTGAAAAAACTCCGTTTTCGTGTGGATGACAGGCCAAAACGTAGGAAAATATCTACGTTTTGGCAGATCCCCGGCTACGTGTGGACAGGGCCTTAAAGCTACAATCGCAAATCTGGAAAACAAGCTAGCTGAAAACGTTCTTTTGAAGCCTCGGACAACAACTGATGTTCGGACAACAACGACTGGTGTCTAGCGCTATCTCGTTTCCTCTGGCAATGAGAGTTTCCAGTTATGGCGGATGTGGCCCAGGGATGGTAACGGATGTGAGTGCATGTTCTGTTACCCCTTCTGCACGACACCACCCTCATCGGGAGGTGGACCAGCTGGTGTCCTGCTGCAGTAACAATAACCTGGTGCTTAACACACACAAGACAGTAGCGTTGATGGTGGACTTCAGGAAAGTCACAGCCCCCCTGCCTCCCCTTGCCTTCAACAACACTCCCATCGTCATCACAGACTCCTTTCGTTTCCTGGGCACCGGCATCACACAGGACCTCACGTGGGAGCCGACCAACAGCGCCATCATCAAGAAAGCCCAGCAGAGGTTGTTCTTCCTGTGACAACTGAAGAAAGCAAAGCTGCCAGTCCAGATGATGGTGCAGTTCTACACTTTCCATCCTCACCTCCTCTATCACAGTGTGGTCCGCTGGGACTACTGTCAGGGACAGACAGAGACTGCAAGGCATTGTGCGCTCAGCTGAGACGGGGATTGGCGGCAGTCTTCCATCCATGCCTCTCCTGGGGGACCCTGGCCACGGACTGTTTGGCAGGAGGCTACGATCCATCCTCTCGTCACAAAAACAGTTGATTCCCCTCTGCCGTCTGTCTCATGAACACTCGGTGATACCTGCACATTATATACCAGTCACTGTAATAGTATGTTTGCACTGTTCATCCTGCTGCTAACTGTACATATTATCTATCATTTATTGCCTACTATGTGTTTTTTATGTGTGTTCATGTTGCACCTGATCACCGAAACAAGTTCCTAGTCAGTGAGCTGCGTTCAACGACAATGGCAATAAAAAATCTTCTGATTTTGATTCTGCACACTGGAAGCATCAGCGGCGTGGAACGGCAGCGGAAAGGTTCTCTCACGACAATCGACTCCAGTGCACACCGGGAGTCTCAGCCGTAAAGAGGCTTCTCCGCTGTGCTCCTGGCTCGACCCATGCAATTACAAAATCCCTCGAGTTTATGCCGTCCGCCAATAAACCAAAAAGAAGGAAATCACGTTTGATATCGCTGTTTGATGTCATATATGACCAGTGGCGTGTCCAGATCTTTTAAAATGGGGTGGCCCAGATGAGGCACTACTTTGTGCATGGATGACACCAATGGTTATGCTTTATTTTTTTTACCCCAAGCCTTTTGTGGACAATCAAAATACTATTTAAATGGAATTCAGTGTGGTGACACATGGGGTGGCCATTCAGATTCCAAGGGTGGCATGTGCCACCCCAGGCCACTCCCTGGACACGCCCCTGTATATGACGATGCTTCTCTCCGCTGACAGGATTAAAGCTATGAAAAGCAACCGCTGCACTTGTGGAATGATGCTAGGAGTAAATAAGACATTAGGTCACTTGTACTGACGTAATCTACATAGATGTGAAGTTGCATCGCTACAATGGACTTTTATTTTGAAAATGATTAGGGTTTTACACTGAAACTTTGTGATTTCCTGTCTAGCCTTATGTTAACTACAGAGCTGCACAGTGTGCTGCTTCAGGGACGCGCCTGAAAATTGCCGCGTCGCGGTTTGAATCACCCCCGTGGACTCCACGAGATTCTGTCTGAACATCAGAGACGTTCCGCTGACGCTCCGCGCCGCTGACGCCTCCCATGTGCAGTAGGCTTTACTGTGTTGGTGTTAAAATCTAGTTTATTTTTCAGATTTGTGATTGCAGCTTTAAACGATTCTTCTTTTTCTTTCACTTGACCTATGTTGCAGGCAATTATGGCAATGTATCACAAGATCACTAACAGATACACGTTAAAACACCCATTTATGCTGTGCTGCTTCCTGGATCTGATCGGTTTTAGTACCGTTGCCTTCATGGAACAACAATGATGTAACCACTACTTCTAGAGTTTAATCTGTCAGTTATCTCCAACAACCAGGCAGCATGTGCCGATTTCCTCTAACAGCACCAGAAGCCGTGCAGCTTGACCCTCCACAACGAGGAACTGGTCCCACGCTGTTAGTGTAGCCCCGGAGTTTTAGTAGAAATTCTGAAGAGCAGATTCCAGTAACTTTGAAGTATCAAATCCTAAAACAGAATGACTAGACTTTGTACTGTGTGAATGATAAACTTGGCGGCACTAGACACTTCATCTGCCGTGCTAGAATTATTAAAACACTTCCACCCAGGGAGCTGCCGAGTGAACTCACGTCTGTGCACCTCACCACCTGAAGTTAACTCCAGAATCAAACAAACAAGCGGTTCTTACACAGAACCTCCATGTTTATGTTTGTGTTTTTTCATTTTGTAGACGCTTTTATCCAAAGCGACTTACAAGCGTTCGATACTGTTGATCATGAAATTCTATTAAATTCTATTAAAAAATGGAAAGGTACGGGTTTAGGGGAATCGTTAGGGATTGGTTAAAAAGCTATGTAGGGAATAGGAAACAATATGTACAAATAAATGATACAAATCTGATTTGATGGATATAGCTTGTGGAGTACCTCAAGGTTCAGTACTGGGAGCAAAATTGTTTATTATGTACTTAAATGATGTCTGTAGAGTATCAAAAACTTTAAAGTTTGTAACATTTGCAGATGACACACATACTATGTTCAGGTGTGGAATTGACACAGGTCTTGGAGATGATCACACAGGAATTAACAATATTAAAAAAGTGGTTTGATATAAATAAATTATCATTGAATCTAGATAAAACCAGATTTATGTTATTTGGAAACCAAAAGAAAAACATCAAAATTGACATTTGTGTGGATAATGTATATTTAGGAAGAGTAAATGAAATTAAATTTCTTGGTGTGATCATTGACCATAAGCTCTGTTGGAAGCCACACATTATTCATGTTCAGGGGAAATTGGCACGGGTCGTTGCCATCCTGGGGAAAGCAAAGAAGATGTTGGATCAGAAAGCCCTGCACATATTATATATACTGTGCTTTACTACGGCCATATATGAGTTACTGTGTAGAGGTCTGGGGAAACACATACAAACGTAACATACAGACGATAACTATAATACAGAAAAAGGCCATTAGAATAATTAATAATGTGGGGTACAGGAACCATACAAATGCACTCTTTGTCGAAATGCAAGCTATTAAATTGGTGAAGTTCAAAACAGCACAAATAATGCATAAAGCAAGAAATAAATTGCTTCCAAAATAAATCTGTTTATTGTTCAAAGAAAGAGAAGGTGGGTATAACTTAAGAGGGAAATGTGCTAGAACAACTTTAAAAACTATGACAATCACAATTGCAGGAGTTAAATTATGGGACAGTGTAACAGAAGAGATGAAAGAAAGTAAACACATAAACCAGTTTAAAGTTAAATATAAAAACCTAATTTTAAATAAGTATAAGAATGAAGAAAACAGGGTTAACCCAGCACGGTAACGTGGTTATGCTGTTGTGTTTCTTTTCTGTGTTTTTGTTTGTTTGTTTGTTTGTTTGTTTGGTTTATCTTCTTTCTCCATAACTGGTGAATCTGCAAATTTACACATTCTCTGTTTTCCATGTGTTGTTTTGTTTTTTATATATATATATTTATTTATTCCTCATATGTTGTTTAATTTAAGTCTGAAAGAAAATTAAACGAATAAGAGGTAAAACTTGGGGGTAGGGACAAATATGTAAATACTTCTGCCTACTCCTTTTACAACAAATAATGAATTATGTTTTGTAATGATACATGTGTGAAATGTCTGAAATAAAAATGAACTGAACTGAACATGGATGAAACGACAAGTGACTGACAAATATGTGTGCACAGCTGTTATTAGAGCCGACGATGCATTTAGTCGCACGACCGCATTCTTCGTCTTTTTGGACTCCTTTCTTTGTTCTAACACCATAATAACCGCAAAACTATTTAAAGCTGCACTTTGAGTGACTGCAGCTGCAGTCTTTGTTCTTTCTGCCGCTCGGATGCAGAAGTCTGAGGTCAGAACTCACGGCTGCTCCTCCAGAAAGCTCCTGATTCGATCTTCAAACAAGTGCTCTGCTGTTTTAATGTAAAAAGATGGTTTTCCTCCCATTTCTCCAGGATCAAGTGCTTTGTTTGTCTGCAGGGAGATCAGCAGAGCTCAAGTTTAAACCTGTAAACTGGTGAAAAGCAGGTGTGCGTAAACTGAACATGTCTGCATGCCTACATCCTCTCTTTACACCAGTTCAACCGTTGAAGAAGAGATTAGATGATTTAGCATCAGAGATCCCAAGATGAACTTGAACGAGATTGTGAAGTATTTAATTATGTCTGCGGGGTCAGGAGAAAAAGACAAAATTCACTAAAATAAGAAAAGGATTAGCCAACAAAAAGTAGGCAGTTCAACTCGATTTATTCAACATTTTTACCATTTCAACCTGTTTGGTTCATCATTAGGAGTCTGCCCTGTTGGTGGGTTGCTGGTTCAGACCCAGGCTCCATCCGTGACGGTCGCTGTGTCCTTGGGCGAGACACTTTACCGGCGGTGCCTGTGTCTGGAAGCCTTGCCTCCATCAGTGTGTCCCGGGGCAGCTGTGGCATCAGGGTGTACTGTTTGTAATATCATCTTAAATGTAACGTGAGGAGATATGGGTTTTCTGTGCCAAAGGTTGTATTTTGCCCGGCTGGGTCAGAGCTGGGTCGCTCAGAACTTTCACCCACAGATTAAGACCTTTGCCGACATGAAGTCTGCAAGATTCAACAGGAACCACAACATCTGAACACCTGCAGTGCCAGAAGATGGAGTTCTCATGAAAGCTAGTCATAATAAAAGAGTCTTATGCTTCCTTTGTTTATCAATGCTAAATAATCATTTTACTCATTATAAATGTGTTTTAATCAAATGAATATATTTTGCCAAAATGATCAAGCAGTTCCAAATCACCTGAGTGATTATGTGATATTTGAATTCGCAAGCGGCACACAAAGCTTTGGAACTAAAATCCTACAGCTTTAGGGGTTTTCTTACGGTCGTCCAGCCCGTTCAAGTGGTAATTTGCAGCTCAGACAAGTTCTTTGACCCATGAACAATGCATACCTGGTGTGACTTAATGCAGCTATTTTACTTTCTTTAACATTCTTTTCTTGCATCTCTGTCTTCATCTGGCTAGTGCACTTTATTTTTTGTGACATTAAAGCAAAAACACCCATTGTAACAAAGGAAAACACACAATTACAGAGTTTAATGATGAACTGAGCAGAGTGAGATGGTCAAATCCCAGACAAAAATCAGGCTGAACTGCTTGTTGTTTGCTAATCCATGTGCGCTGGTAGAAAAAAGACCTGTGGAGTTTTCTGCCGTTGCCATGCACAAGTGCAGGCAACAGACTTCTGGGATGAGGTCCAAGGAGTGCACAAGGTGCATATGTAAACACAGAATCTAAAATTAGAAACCGGCCACGTCTTACTTTGGTCAGCAGACTGCTTGTGCGTAAGAATACACAGGCCTTAGACGCACACGCTGTCCAAGGGCTGCCAATAAAGCAAAGATCAGCATTTCTGTTTGTCTCCTCTCAGATCCTGATTCTAACGAGAACAAAAAAAAAAACCACAGAAACCACGTTCTGAAGAGCTTTAGACAATAAAAACGGTTCCTTTTCGGATCCATTATTGGTGGAGGTTTTTAGACAATTGTGAGAACCACTTTAGTCTTATTTGTTTTTTTATTTTTAATCTACACTATTTATAGCTATGCTGTACTGGAACGTTGTGAAGAGACGGGGAATGTTTTAAGCTAGCTTGTTTAAAGAGCAAGTCACCCCCTACCAGAGTCTAACTCCACTCCCACTTCATGTTTGAAAAATGCAACAAATGCTGTTGCCTAGCAGACCGAGAGGGCGCAGCTGCTAACAAATACACACACACACACACACACACACACACACACACACTCTCACAACAACATTGTGACATCATATGGTACCAGCTAACGTTCTAGGGTACCTCTTAGCCAATAGTGATGGCAGATTTAAATTCAAATGCAGTGCAGAGTAGGGGTTGTATGAACTAGTCGACTTCACCGCTCTCTAGTGACTTTTTATGCCTGTCATTGACTAGTCGCTGTCACGTGATAATGACCGACAAGATGCAGTCCTCGGAAAAGACAGCAAGTGGCGAGCTCCTGCGCGTTGGGAGGCGACGTGCTGTGCCAGAGCGTCGGTGCTGACACCCACCGTAAAACGGACATTTGACCAAATTGTGACGTTTACCCTCTTGCAATTTAACCTTCCCCTCACCCCCATCCTAACCTTAACCAGCTTGCGCGTGCAAAGCTCTGATTGTTGACGCGCTCCAGACATCTGCGTCCTGAGCACGGCCACAGTAACATTATCAAATCAGGTGTCGCCACCTCAAAAACAAATTTAACAAGCGATTGTTCATGTCGGCTCATTTCCTTTTATGCTTTCTGTCTTTTATTTGTGCCTGATGCGTTTCGCTGCTGTGGAGCGGAGCGCATCACCCGTTTTGCACTCCGGTGACGCACCTCACCGGTGAGGCCAGCGAGCAGTGCACACTCCGCTGTTTTTGCGGTCGGTAGATCTTTTAGAACTGCAGTTCAAAGGTAACTCATAAGGTAAATATATATGAACCCAGGTAGCAGTTTCTCTTTAGGATTGAGAGGAGATGCAGGAAGATAATAAACAAACAGGACAGAAAAATAGTCAAATAAAAACAAGTTAGTTTTTGTACCTGGTGGTTGTAACAAACACCATTGAAGGTAATCAGAAGTGAGGAACAGAAACTGAAATAATTATTTTAATGTTTAGAGCAGCAGGAACTCCGAGAGGCTGCAGGCGCATCAGTGAGTTTGCGGCCGCTGCGCAGGGGGAGGGGGGAGAGGGCTGAAGCAGAAACTACCGTTATTAAAAGAAATGTATTTAACTTTGAAAATGTGGGCGTAATTTTAAGTGTCAAAAACTCCAGCGAACCAACCGACCCCCCCCCCCCCCCCCCCCCCCAAAAAAAACCCAGCTTGAACAAGTGAGACTTCAGCTGCTTTTTAAAGGAGACCACTGAGTCCACTGATCTCAGGCTCAGGGGGAGAGAGGTCCAGAGTCTGGGGGCCACAGCAGCAAATGATCTGTCACCTTTGACCTTTAGCCTGGTGCTGCACAACCAGTAGGCTTTGATCACTGGACCTCAGGGACCTACTGGGGGTGTAGGGACTAAGAAGATCACCAATGTAAGATGGTGCTTGTCCATGTAAGGCCCTATAGACCAGAACCAGGATCTTGAAATGAACCCTGAAGTTTACTGGCAGCCAGTGAAGCTGGAGGAGAAGTGGGGTGATGTGGGTGTGTTTAAATAGTTTATCAGAAAAAATAGTTGATTTGGGGGTGACTTGCTCTTTAAGTGTGTCAGCGTAGCTTTAATCTCAATGGGGAAACACCACAGATAATAAAACACAAAAGTCAGTGTGTTATAATGTGAAAAAGTTAAAAACTGTACACTCGTGTCGCACCCCAAACAGCTGATTAACTCAAAACACCTGCAAAAAATTCCTGAGCCTCTAAATGGCCTCCGAGTGAGTCGGTAGCCTAAGAAAGAAGCCTGCTGGCAGGACTGCGTGTCCACAAGACAGTCATGGAAACCGTCCACAAGGACAGGAAGCCACACAGGGTCCCTGCTGAAGAAGCATGTTCATAGGGATGCTACACCAGCAGCAGGAAGAACCACAGCCTTGAGTGGATTGTTGAGCTAAATCCATTCAGGAATCTGGGAACGTTTCACCAGGAGTGGACTGAAGACGGAGTCGGGGCATCGAGAGCCTCTACACACAGACCCATCCTGCACATGAGCTACAAACGTCTCCGTCCTCTTGCCAAGCCCCACCTGAGCGGCTCATCTGGGCTAAGGAGGATTCTCTTAGACGCGCCTGGACAAACGCAGCTCAAACATCCGTACTGCATAGAAATGATGGCACACACACGCCATTAGTAATACTCCAGGGAGTCTCAGGGCAGGAAGACTGAGCTTTCTCTGTGTTATGGCCTGTATTTGATATAGCGCCCTCTAGAGCTCTGGGTCACACATTCACACGCTAGTGGTGATGAGCTACGATGTAGCCACAGCTGCCCTGGGGCGCACTGACAAGAGGCAAGGCTGCCGAGCACAGGCGCCACCGGTCCCTCTGACCACCACCAGCAGGCAAGGGGGGTTAAGTGTCTTGCCCAAGGACACGACAGCAACAAACTGAGTGGGGCTCGAACCTGCAACCTTCCGATTATGGAAGCTGGCCCTGAGACCAACTTCAGCCTGTTTAGAGAGCCCACCTCCTCACAGGTTTAAACCCGAGTTTGCATTTCAGCTCTTTATCTGCCGAGTGGGCCACTCCTTTTGTGGTTTTTGGAGTTTCAGGGTGCTCTGGTTAGGCGGTTTGTTCGTAACTCGTGTGCATTTTATCGGGCTGATCCTTTTTAGCAAACAGCACTTTGGTCTGTCCTGACTGGTGGTATAAAAATGCTCTAAAGTACAAAGTCTCCATCCCATCTGTGAATGCAAGGCTTTGGTTTGAGAAACCAATCTGTTGCTCTACTGGCACAACAGTAGGGGGCGCTAAAGCTCCATCACTGACTGAACAGCAAAGGAAGGAACATTTAGTTGAATCTAACCTACGGACAGTAAATCCTCCAAACCAGAGCTATTCACAGACATCCAAACATTTTATTATGAAAATAAGACAAAACAACATTTGAACACATGTTTGCTTCGATCATGCGTTAGCACTGATGAATGACGCAGAGGCAGAAATCAGAAGTACAGTCTCAGCTCCGGCTGCAGCGCGGCTCTCAGTCTGGATGGTTTCACAGGAAGCCGGCGTCCGAGTGCGGCGCGCCTTCCGCGGTTCCTCACATGAATATGACAGGATCTGTACAACCTTCACTGATGAGAGCTTGACGGTAGACTGTGTGTGTGTGTGTGTGTGACATCATCGCTGCTGCTCACTTGGCCTCCTGAGCTTTTTTGGCGCTTTGTTTCTCTTTCGCCTGAAGAAGCAAACCCAGACGTGTTTCCGTTAATAAAAACAAGAAAACTTTAATGGATTTTAAACTATTTTATGTCCTCAGATGGATTCAGAGTAGAAATGTGGAAAGCGGTAAAGAGGAGGGAGCAGTTTACCTTCTCCACCAGCGGTATTAGCTGCTGGTACTCTGCCAGCGTCTTCAGTAGCTCCATGATAAAAGGAAGGTAGTTGTGCTTTCGTCGAATATTTTCAATCTGCAAGATTCCAATAAAACGCACAAGAGAGCAGAAAATACCGCGTGAATTCATTTGGTAGGTGAGAATTCTGTATCTTGCAAGATTTATAAACATCTAGGGTTGTCACGGTAACCGGTGTGGCGGTAAACCCCGGTAAAAAAGTAGACAATAATAATAACCGTCTTGTTTTTTTAAAAAACTATATTATCTCGGTGGGTTACCGTGGCTGCGGTGTAGGCGCGGTGACCCTTACCAGCCGCCGTATCATCTGCTGAAGTTGCCGGCGGCACATGCGCACTTTGTTGTTTACAACCAAAACTTTCTTGAAGCTAAAGCTGAAATAATGGCCAAAGGAGGAGACGGCAGCGCTCAGGAGGACATTTATTATCTCTCAAAGAAGACAAAGTGGGAAGTACGGGCATCTTTTGGATATTTGAAGAATGCCGAGGGAGTTGATAGAAGACGGCTATCCTGTTTGCAGCACGTGCAGAAAAAGTGTCTGTGAAAGGCAGCAACGCTTCAAAGCTCATGACACATCTGCGTGACCATCACCCACAACTCTACAGTCAACGCAAGGCAAGCTAACGTTAGCATTTTAGCTAAAATGCGTGATCCGAGGATTTGGGTTGAGGGAGAATGCAACGAGTCGCTCTATAAAGCAGCCGCAGCGCCGCTACCTGCTTATAAACCATGTCGCGGACACCGCCATGTTGAAATGACGCTACGCATTACGGGGCTCCCAGGGGCAGATAAGAGTTGGTCTCTCTCCGAGAATAATTATGAATTTAACAACGATTACTGCCTGATGACATTTTCCCACATCTGCAAAGCTCACTGGAAGGACACAAACCGAGGACAACATTTTCCTGATATAGGCTATATTACTCAAGTAAGGGTAAAAAAGTATCTGATTAGAAGGCTACTTGAGTACTGAGTATCATCTGATCTAATATTTTTAAAATGATGACATCAAACAGACTAAAAATAAGAAGTTATGGGCAAATATTGGTATTGTAAAGACTAAAGGGGAAAAATGTAAACAAAGAAACATCATTACAAAATAACACATTTTAGGCAAAATTTAGACACAAACTGAGGACAATATTTTCCTGATATACTGGGTTTATTTTGAAAATGTAGCACGTTTAAAAAAATACCGCGATAGTACCGAAAACCGTGATAATTTTGGTCACAATAACCGTGAGGTTACATTTGCACACCGTGACAACCCTCCAGACATCATTTAAAGAAGTCAAGTTTATTTAAGACACATCATGGTGTGTGTTGCTCGGTGGAAACCCGCCTTGTATCTTTTGAGCTTCTGGTTCTCCTCCTCGATGAGCAGCTGGTACTTTGCGATCTCTGACTGGATGGAGCTGAGGAATGTGCTGCTCTGGTCCGTGTCCATCGGCTCATCCTCACGAGTCAAAACAAAAAGGTTTCGGTTCAATTATTGCAAAGAAAATTAAACGGGTGAAATTCTGGATGTTCTGAAAACATAATTTCCCAAATAAAAAACGTGTTTACTTTTATTTCTAGCTAATTATGTAAAAGCAGTAGAAATGTATTTATTCTAATTTCTATGAAGCACATTAAAAACGACCTCATTTGACGACAACCTCAGAAAACCTCCTGAATGATTTCGCTGACCTCTAGTGGTGAAAAGAGTGACTGCAGCTGTGAGCAGAACACCATCAGGGTGCTGTCCCCGTAACTCACCTCAGTGAGCTGAGTCTGGAGCTCTGCGATTTTCCTCTCGTAGATCATCTTCCTGTCCGACACGATGGCCATCAGGTTGAATCGGATCTCTCCTTCGCTGTACCTGGATTAACCAACGAGAAACGCTCAGTCTCTGGTTAACGTTGCAATAATCCAGAGTGGATTCACGAGTGACGTTTACTTCTGTATCCTTTTCTCAATCACTGGACGAACCGCATTGATCCAGTCGTCCTGGTTGCATGCACCTGGTGGCATCAGGAACAAACAAATGAGGCAAATAAGGTTCGACAGCAAGCATTTACGACAAAACGTGATGAAAGCGCAGGTTTCTGGGACACTGAGGCCTAACGCGGCAAACGGAGACATTATAAAGCAACGGTAGGTTTCATTATGACAGATTGTGTTTTTCTGCGCACCCAAGTCGATCGGTCCTTCTCGAAGTCCATCCAGCTCGTACAGCCTGCCGTTTACAGGAACGTAGCTGACAAAGTGGAAGGCATCTTCATCCTTTGCTGAAGACTTTGCATCAAATTCAAACATCTGCTGTCTTCAGAAGAAGGAATCAAATAACAACCATTACAGCAAATCCACAATGAACCAATGTTGAATGCTTCTATGTAGAGCCGAGGAAAATAATCAAATAATCGATGCATCGAGATGCGGACATGAAACGATTCTGCATCGTAGAAGAGCAGCCGTAATCGATCATGAGGAATGCAGTGTTGTCATGTTAACGGCGGCACCAGCGCAGCATCCAGATCTGTCAGAGTGAGCGTCCTCCACATTTACCAAGTGGTTCCGCCTTAATGTGGTACTGCAGGGCTGAGCGCTAGAGTTGTAACCTGAGACCGAACCGGAATCGAATCAGCCCGGCCGGTTCTGTTGGATTTGGGCTGTGAATCATGTTAATTGAGCGGGTTGTCACGCGGCGCGCTCCGCTCGCTCGATCAGCGACTGAGAGGGAGAGAGAGAGAGAGAGAGACATTGGCCGTGTTCGAGATGAGCCAGTTCTGCGCAGAATGGACCAGCGGTGATCGGCGAGCAGTGCATGCCGGTTAGATTTGTGTCCGACTTGACGCCGACTTGCTCTGACGTCATGCCGACGTAGGCAACGATAACCTCGTGAGATCAAGGCGGCCGCAGATTTTGGAGCAAGGCGCTGCAGTTGCTCTCCACCGGCTGCAAAACCTAGAGGATGACGGGAAACGCCTGGCTCTCACCTGATCTAAGATCTGATTGGTTCCCATTTTGATCCAATCATCCGGTGGTAGAACATGAAATGTTAGTTGGTCACGTGTATTCTGTAAATCATGTAACGTTGATGATGACAACTATATAGGCCATAAAGAGAAATGTGTTTTGTGTTCTCTTGTCACGTTTCCTATGAGCACACTGAAGCTACAGCTGATAACCTTTACTTATTATTACAGTCATGTCTTCATATACAATATATGATATCCACAAGCACGTGAGGATGTGTTTCAGCTGCTAACAGGCACCAGAATTAAAATAATTAAAAAAGTGTGAACTCTAACGCGATATCTTAATCCGTCATCACCCGCGAGCTACACATGTAGGGACATCTGTCCGACTTAAACGCCGGCTTTCAGCCACTGCCCCTGCTGCGTCCGTCTGCTCTCGTCTGGTTTCCAGGCGAGGCGCTGCTCAACTCGAACACGGCTGCTGTCTGCTCACACACAAGAGAGGATCGGAGGACGCTCCTCCAAACGTGTTATTTTCATAATTTCATTATTGTTTCTCCTGGAAGCGCTGAGTCAGACCGAGTGTTGTGATGCCGGGAGATCCAGATTGGGGAGGGGGCGGGGTCAATGATGGCGGCTGCAGCGTGATCATCCGTCTCTTATTTAGGGACACGGAGAAGTTAAAAGGAGAGAAATAGAAGTTCTTGTTCCACTTTATTCTTTTGTTTCATGATGTTAAATTCAGCTTAAAGAGGAACTGGGAGGAAGCTTTGGTTCATTTTAGGAGATCTTGTCTCCCATCTGCTCCTCCAGACACAGCATGGACATGAGGGTTACTTGGTGAGGGTTAAGCCGGGCGGACACTGTGACTTCTTCACTGGTAGCACTCAGCTTCAGCTCAAAATGTATGACTTCCTCGCAGGGCAGATCTCAGGAGTCATGCGCTCACACTGTACGACCCAGTTCTCAGACGCGACCTGACTGTTCACACTGTACGTCTGGTAGCAACACGTCGGCCCCAAAAATATGCTAAAAATAGCAGTTTTTACTCAACACGTCAGACTTTGTTTTGCCTGTTGTCCTTCGGGAGTGCTGCAGGAGGACACACAGGGATTTATGGGGGTTGGATGAGGAAAACGAAATAAAGAAAGTAAATCTGTGTGTGAGTAAAAAAACGTGTAGAAACAAAAACGAACAATGTGTGTTATTAGGGAAATAGCGGGCGAGCGGTGTTGATGCAGGATTGCGCATGCGCCGTGAGCGGTTCTGATACTTTTTGGGTCGCAGCTGCTCGCAGCGCCGCTTCAACAGTGCAATACCCTCATGAGGGACGAGCAAAATATCAAACACACCAGAAGTCCGTGCGAGCTCACGATTGCTGATCGGCAGCTGGTCACGTGGTGTTAATCGCCTCTTGTAACCCCCCGACACGACCGCTCGGCGCAAAACTCGCCCCGATGTCGTGGATTCTCGCACGAGTGGAAGATCGGCTCAAAAAAGTGAAAAAGTTGCACAGTGTTCGCCCGGCTTTACACGGGACAGGTCAGTTGAAAGGTTAGTTAGCTGGTTAGTGAAGCTGATCCATCAGCTGGGTAATTTAATCCTAATCCAGCCCACAGCCTTCTGCTGGTGTTATTATCAGAAAGAATAAAACACACATCTTAAGTATTATTGGAAGTGTAGAATTTGTTTTGTGTTTTATTATTTTCTGCATCAAACAGAACTTGATTCGTTCTCCAACATTTCAGAAATGAACCGCTGGGTTCAAATAAAATAAACTAAGTCAAACATTTCATTTGGTGTTATTTCTGACACCCTTCACCTGTGGCATAAATATCTGACTCTAGAGCTGCTCAGAGACATTAAACACTCATATATGAACCCATTATGCATTTTATTATTACATTATGTGTCCTGTAGGTTTTCAGTACTTTTTAGATTTTGTGAGTTTTTGCAAAGCGTGTTTTTCTCAGCCTGAGGCGTGGTGCTGAACGAGGAAACGGATGTTTTACTTTGTTAAATCTTCTTAAATGTTTAAATGTTTTGTCCTAACCTTTTGTGAATGGAGAGCTTTTGAGGGATGGCAGGTTGTGTCAATTACGTTTTTGATTTTAAAAATAAATAAATAAATAAAAAGCAATTATCTGACATCTTCTATTTATCGGTGAAAACAAATCAATATGAAATAATCGTGATGCATCGTGATATCGAATCGAATTGAATCGTTGACCCAATAATTGTAATCGAATCGGGAGACAAGTGAAGATTCACACCTCTACTTCTATGTACTGGAATTATTTTATGTATATCTAAGTATTTTTATGTACAAATAATTCATCTTTATGACAACTGAAAAAAATCTGGCATTTAACGGGGAAAAACCCACTTTAAATCAGGTTAAAATCTGCTAAAAATAACTTTGCAGCTGGAAACCATCTGGGCAGTAGCTTACCTAGCAAAGCTGTTGTGGACTTGTCGAATCACTTCAGAGTTGCTGAGAGCCAAACCTTTCATCTGAGGAGAGAAGACGGAAGATTACAGCTCTGATCGCAGAACCCTGGCCTAAAAAATCACAAGGTGGAAAGAAGCACGCAAGTCTGTAGTAACAAGTCATGTGCCTAGATGGGTTTCATGTGGTTGCTGTGCAAATGGCTTCACCCACAATTGTTCTCACAGGACGCTGCAACAATAAAGTCAAAACAATTTTAATTTCTACTTAACCTGAAGCAAGTTTTTCCACGTTAAGAATAAACAAACGAGAAAAAAAAAACAAGAAAACAAGAAAAAAAAAGAAAAAATGAACAAGAAATTGAGACAGAATAAAACAATAAAGAAAAAACTATTTTTACATAGCGCCTCTCAAGATAAAAATCACGAGGCGCTTCACAAAAACAAAAAACTTCAAGTATAAAAAAGATTTAAAATATGTTTAAAATGGGAAAAAATTTAAATTTTCAATTAAAAAATGTAAGGAAGAGAAGAGAGAAAATGAATAGGAAAGAGGGAAATCAGTGGATCCCGGGAAAGGCGGAATAAGAGAAGAACAAGGAAAGGGTGCTGATGACGGTCACGCAGAAGCCAGCTTTAGCAGGTGAGTTCAGCTGCTTTTTAAAGGAGACCCCTGAGTCCACTGTTAAAGGTGGGATAAATGTTTTAACAAAGCACTTTTACTATATTGCTTGAAATTCTCTTCACACACACCAATGGCAACCTGTCTAATGTTTTGCCCAAAAATTCACGATTTGATTTGCCACTGAAACACAGTCCTAGAAAAATATACTTGCACACTTAGGTGTGAAAAAGGTGACCACTCCCATTCCTAATGATTGGATCAGCATCTATCCATCAAACTGCCCTCTGACTGCCTCTCCCACCTCCGCTCGTACCTCTCCATTTGCACAAATTGGAACAGCTGAACAGGAGGCAGGCTGCATATTGTTGAAGGGCCTGGTGTCTGCGAATGCAGCCTGTACGCCGTGTTTTCCCACACAACAAACACCACACTACATTAGCTGGCATGCTACATTGTGATATGGTTACAGATGTGTGTTGCAATTGGACTCGTGGCGGAAAAAGTGTTGAAATGGGTTGAAAACATAAACATGAGCCCACGGGAACAAGCTTTATGTGCTGCTGTATTCTGGAAGTGCAGCTCTGTTCAAATATAGTGTTATGGAGCAAACACAAAAAAAAATACCATCAACGTACAGCTGCATCAAAACTCAGTGAAAACTCTCTGAACTCTGTCAGCGTGTCTCCGAGCAGCATGTCAGCATGAGTGCAATTGAGGAGAACGCTGATGATCGCCTGGGTGGCACAAGCGTTGTTAATGACCTGTAAACACACAAAGAATGAATGACAGCTTCACAACAGCATTTTTCATGAAAGAAAATAACATGTTTTATTAAATGGGATGGGCACCAGGATCCTCGCAGTTATTCGAGGGTGGGAACCTACTTTAAGACGTGAAATACAGTAAGCCCGGTCATACAGGATGCAAGAAAATTCAATCTGAAAGTCTTAATCGTATTAGAAGGAAAGCCACACCACAGACTAAAATGTGTCGTTTCACCCTTTAGATACACATCCAAAGCAAATCAAAGCAGGAAGCTGTGGCTTTATTTTAGTCTTCACTATTGAGATAAACTAAGTAGATGGAAATTTACCTGTTTGGCAAAAAAAATGTGATCAAGCCTCGAGTCCTGCACAATAGACCCTGCAGGCTCCTCTCCTGGTTGCCACTTGAAGAGAAAAATCAAGCCGTGAACTGGTCTGGAAAGAAGCAAACGGTGTTTTTATCTTGGTTCTGTTTAAGACGGATCATGAACATGTAAGCTGTGATAAGGAGGTGAACACACTTCAAGTTCTCAAAGTTCTCCGGCTCCATACTCCATATCTCTTCAACCTGAGCTCCTTTACAGCCTGAAAAAGGCAAAAACAATCAGCACTCGTGCAGAACAGTACCTGCTTTGTAGGGAGAAGAATACGAACGTGATGTATAAGATAGAAGTGTATACGATGCGATCAATCCGCTGCTTGTGATTGCAATTTTAGTTTACGTTGTTTTGAACGCTGAGTAATGCTAGCCACTTAGCTTCATAATAAGCTAAGGCTAATTATTGTATGCAGGCGCTTAAAAAAACAAAAATAGAAGGACAGCTGAAAAACAAGCTATGCGATTAATTTTATTATTATGCAAACATTGTAAAGCAACGGTCAATGATGACGTTAGGATCCGCTTTGCATCACCAGCCAGCTATGTAGCATAGCCATGTTTATTTTGAATGGACAGTCAACGTTACGGTAAAAAACACTCACCAAACCCCTTTATGAGCTCCGTGAACACTCCAGGATCACTCTCCATCAGACACCACTCTCCTGCGCTTCCGGACATCTTCTCAAAATACTGTGAAATTTACCGTCTGAGCACATATAGTTAGCAAATGCTATTAGCCTAGCAGTGTACGCGCTAGTCGGGCTAATTAATTGTAGCGCATGAGTGACCTCACTATCACGTGAGCCAGAAGCATGCGCGCGCGTTTTACTCACCAGCGTACACCGTTTAACTGGAGGTTTTGATATTCCTTCGGAGTTTAAAACCCATTTATTAATATATAAACAATATATATATTTGCCCATAGCATATATATATATATATATATATATATATATATATATATATATATATATATATATGCTATATATATATATATATATATATATATATATATATATATGCTATATATATATATATATATATATATGCTATATATATATGCTATATATATATATATATATATATATATATATATATATATATATATATATATATGCTATATATATATATATATATATATATATATATATATATATATATATGCTATATATATATATATATATATATATATATATATATATATATATATATATAGCATATATATATATATAGCATATATATATGCTATATATATATATAGCATATATATATATATATATATAGCATATATATATATATATATATATATATATATATATATATATATATATATATATCCAATCCAATTTTATTTATAAAGCACATTCACAAGGCATTACAACCAAACAAGGCGCTGTACACTAAAAATGTTAGTAAATTAAACCGGCGTTATACAAACATGTCGAACACAGATAAAAGATAAAAAGGAAATTCAACAAAATTCCCAAAAATAACAGCTAAAAATCAATAAGACATAGGGTGAATAAAAATTATATATATATATATATATATATATATATATATATATATATATATATATATATATATATATATGTGTGTGTGTGTGTACATATACATATAAAATACATATAAATATATACATATATATATACACACATACATACATATATATATATATACATATATACATGTATATATACACACACATACATATATATATATACACACACACATACATATACATATATATATATATACACACACACACACACACACACATATATATATATACAAATATATATATATATACAAATATATATATATATATATAAATATATATATATATATACAAATATATATATATATAAATATATATACAAAAATATATATATATATAAGCTCGGTCATTTGGGAGGGGCTCGGAGTAGACCTGCTGTTACTCCACATCGAGAGGAGCCAGTTGAGGTGGCTCGGGCATCTGGTCAGGATGCCTCCTGGTGAGGTTTTCCGGGCACGTCCAACCGGGAGGAGACCTAAAGGTAGACCCAGGACACGGTGGAGGGACTATGTCTCTCACCTGGCCAGGGAACGCCTTGGGATTCCCCCAGAGGAGCTGGCCCAAGTGGCTGGGGAGAGGGAAGTCTTCGGCTGCTGCCCCCGTGACACGACTCCGGATAAGTGGATGAAAATGGATGGATCCGCCCTTCTGTGAGGTGCGGGTACTAATATCAAGCGCTCGTCTAAAGAAAAATGCGCTAAGACGATTTAAATATAACAGTGTTTAATAAAAATATGCGTTTGATGTACAGTAAAACGAGTTTTCGTTGTTCATCTTTATACATAGGCCTCTGAAACCACCTTATCAATAAATGTGTACTTTTAGGGGCAAAGTAACAAACTAGCAAAAAAAAAAACAGATTCAGCTGAATTTTTACACAGCAAAAATAAAATCTATATTTATATCCACAAACAGACAGACAGACAGGGTAAACAATATTCCTTAATAGCAGCGTGATAAAATGTTTTGATTGTACTGTGAAGTTTCCAAAGTGTGTAAACACATCTTAAATTCCAGCATTAACACATTCATATAACCAAACATTTTTGTTCAAATTGTTGTAAAGTTTAAAAAAAAACAGTTTTGCAAAAAAATAGGCCAAAATGTAAATATTCCAAAACTCTACTTTAGCTTGAAATAAAAAATAAGTGTACATCCCAACGAGAAAATGAATGCACATCAATCCTCTGCTTTCCTCTGAAGAACCCAGAGCAAAGTTCTGCTCAAGTCATTTACAACTTTTAGCACCAAATCCATTAAACAGCTCATAAATAAAGTGTTGAACAGAGCTAGAGGAGCGGCTAGTCATTTGGAGGAGTGGAAGTGTCCGCTGGCAGAGCCTTCTGACTCGGCTGCAGCACAGCAGGGAGAGCACTGCTCGATGAGGGGCAGCAGCCTCCCCTGCTGGTGGAGATGTTTGGTGTCGGAGCCGCCCCCGATGCAGTTTCCATTGATGAAGACTCTCGGCACCTAAAGAAAACAAATGAAGCCGTTACGTTAGCAGAACACAAATGAGTGTGTCATCCACAGGGAAATGAAGAGTAGTGTGCACCGACCTTCAACCATCTTTTCACAATCTAATTAGCTAGCTCCCCTCAAGAATGAAGCTGGCTTTCGTGTTTTCCCATTAGCTCTGCAAGTGGGGATTCTTTAGTTTCATTACGTCTAAATACCAGCTCACTTTGTCACATAGTGCGGGAGGAAATGTTTCTAATTTCACTGAAACACATTAGTTTAAACTGATTTTTATTATCGTTACACGAGTTTTAATTGTTTACAAGGTCTTCAGTGATAATCGTGCATTTTTAGCAGCTACGCTTCCTTAGCGAGGAGGATAGTTTAGCCTGGCCTGCCAGACTCGTCCTGTTTAATTCTGCACAGAGAAAGAGTCTGGTTACTCACAGGCAGAGAGGCACACGAGGGGCGGGACTAGGCAGCTCAATAACCAATCAGAAAAAACAGGGGATCTGCAGGATTAAGGGAGCCAAATTTAAGACTTTTAAAGACCTTTTTTAAGGCCACTTTGACCAAATTTAAGCTTTTTTTTGTTAATTTCATTTAAACCGGAACCGGTGCTAACCACGTCGCGAACGTGGTGGCGCAAGCTCCCACTAGCTTAACCAGCTAATGTGCTCATCTAAAAAGAGCCCCCATTCACAACCAACTGAATGTGTACGGTTCCGCTTACGCCAACATCATACACAAAAAATGCTGAACACTAGAAATTCTTGTTCATTGGGTCGTTTGTAATTTAAGATCTTTGGAAACTATTTAAGGATTATTTGTCATTTTTAAGGATTTTTGAGGCCTTAAATTTAGAAAAGCAAATTTAAGACTTTTAAGGACTCGCGGATACTCTGAAAAAAGACGAAAATGCTGATTGTACCTCGCGATGCTGTAGTTTTTTTACTGTAGTAAAAAAAGGCGTCTGGCAACGGCGCGGACATCTTTCATTTTTTTTAGAAGAAAGGCTTTTAGCGCTTCTACTAGTTGTGGTTTTAAAGACATTCAAGTCATTTAGAACAGAGGAAAGAGCCGCAGCGAAGTTCACTTCAGACGCCATGTTTGTGACAAACTCGAGCCCTTTTCAGACGGACATTCTGGAACATGTGTGGGCAATTCAGTCCGGTTTTTAACCAGAACTGTGTTTTCAGACACACCACTTTTGTACCTGAACGTGTCCTTTCGCCTGCCTTCAAACAGCAGGGAAACGTTCCAGAAGTCTGGGGGGGGGGGGGGGGGGGGGGGGGGACATGGTGCGGCGGGCGTACATGCGTCATTTACCCAAACAAAGCTATTCAGTCAAACATGGCTGACAAAGAGATAGAATTCCTCTCACTGATCGGACTTATGTTAAGCATAATTCTGCACACACGAAGACGCATAAGAGACCTGGATGATGAAGCTCAATGGTTAATGAAGGAATCACGGAAGCGGTCCGTCGCGCGTCTACGAGACGGTACCGTAGGAGGCGAGCTGCCATGGTTCGCCGCATGCTACAGGAGCGAGCTATCTAGGTGTGCACAGCCTCCCCCGGTCCCCTCCTCCTCCTCCTCCTCCTCCCTGTCCGGAACTCGACCTCGCCAGTCTGAAGCAGCCACCCTGTCCGTGACAAGTCCGGTCCTGTTACTAGGGGCGTCGTCCGGTTTAATTACGGAAAAGGTTATCCGGATGTTTGTATTCAGACACAAAGGTCTTAAGGACAGAGTCCTGAACATTTCTGCTTTTCAAGGACTGTCTGAAGGAGCTTCGGTGTTGTGGTGTGTGGCGTATACGCTACTCGGCGCTGATTGGCTCGGTTAGAATTCTCAGGGGGCGGGGTTATTTGAATAGCACAGTTTCCAGACCCGTTAGGAGTCGTCTGGCAGGCCGGGCTAAGTTTCCTACTCTCCTTGCAGGGTTTTCTGAATGCACTGGACTTAAAGCTGCGGTGCTTTTTTTGTTTGCTCTTCTGCAAAATGTTTTAAAACGGTTGCACAAACACAAGAAATCACTGCAACAGTTTGTAAATAGATGGTGACATTTAGGGACGTAAGAAAATATTCATGCACCGAAATATCGCAACATTTGTTATGTTATGGTACTGAATCGACATTAAAAGCAGTTTATCCATTTTTTAATTGAAAATTTGTTCATAAACATTTACATGCGATTCAAACTCTGACTGCTAGGTGGCAGCAGGTTTTACCACATAGTACCAAATGGCCTGTATTTGTATAGCACCTTCTTAGGGTTCTACAACCCCCCAATTTACCCATTCACACACACACACACACACACACACACACACACACACACACACACACACACACACACACACACACACACACACACACACATTGATGGTGATGAGCTACACCATAGCCACAGCTGCCCTGGGGCGCACTGACATCGGCGAGGCTTGCTGAACACTGGCGCCACCGGTCCCTCCGACCACCACCACCAGGCAAGGCGGGTGAACCGTCTTGCCCAAGGACACACCAGCAGCATTCTCTGGTTGGACCTGGGATTGAACCTGCAGCCTTCCAATTACTGGACAACCTGTTCTACCTTGTGAGCCACTGCTAAAAGAGTCTGACCTCATCTACCCATCCATCTAGGGCAGCAGCCTAAGCACAGAGGCCCAGACTTCCCTCTCCCCAGCTACTAGGGCCAGCTCCTCCGGGGGAACCCTAAGACGTTCCCTGGCCAGCCGAGAGACACAGTCCCTCCAGCGTGTCCTGGATCTTCCCTTCGGTCTCCACCCAGTTGCACGTGCCCAGAAAACCTCACCGGGGCGTCCAGAAACTGAGGCCCTGTCCACACGTAGCCGGGGATCTGCCAAAACGTAGTTATTTTTCTACGTTTTGGCCTGTCATCCACACGAAAACGGAGTTTTTTCACACGAAAACGGATCTTTTTAAAAACTCCGGCCAAAGGGAAGATCTGCGCTTTCTCCGTTTTGGGTGTCTGTGTGTGGACAGACAAAACCGGAGTTTAAAGGTCTGCAACGTCAGTTTCCGCGACAAAAAATGCTGACATCACGTGTGCGACCTGTGTTTACACTAGCCGACAGCACGGAAGCCCTCAGAGCTGCGCTCTGTCACTACCCGATCCATCAATTGTCCAAGCGCTTTCTGCTTGTTTGTTTTTGCAAGCGGAATTACTGCTCCTTGCGGAAGACCACAGACGAAGGACGAGGTTAAGAACGGGGGAAGTACTGCCGCCTACAGGTCTGGCATGTCCACAACAACGTATTTATCCGGGTACGTGTGGACAGTTTTTTTTTTAAACAAGGTGGTGTGGATGCAAGTTTTTGGAGGGGCGGATATTCGTTTTTAAAAAAACCCGACTACGTGTGGACTAGGCCTGAGATTTCTAATTAAATTCAATCTTAAAAATTGCAAATAACATTTGGCTTTTAGTATCACAATAAATCCTATCACCAGATTCCTGCCAATACACTCCTAGTGACTTCCAAGAGGTGACTTTTCAAACAGGCTAGTAAAAATCTTCCTTTCGGTGTCTTACTCTTGAATTGGATATATTGCAGCAGTCTTTGGTTTAATTCTTTTCACTGGAAGCTAAAACAGCAGAAATAAAGAGAGACTCTTACTGTTCTTGCACCAGTCATTTGAGCCAAGGCTTCTTGAAGTCTCCTCCCATCGTTGTGCTGGTCCAGCTCAATCACCTTGTAGGTTGCACCAATTTCATTGAACACATTTTTGGCCATCTTACAATATGGACAGGTGGTTTTGGAGAATATCACAACACAGTTATGTGACACCACATCCTAAAAGGTTGGGAAGACAAAAACTAAAACAATTCAAATATGATAAAAACAAAGCAGTAAAAAAATGGTTGCTTGGTGATTAAAATATCAGTGAAGAGCAAATTGTGTTGCAATAAAAAAAACATTGAAGTTGTAAACAAATAGATTTGCTATGTAAATAACCAGTGAAACCCAGCTAATACGTTTACGTTTCAACAAGTTTTCTAATAAAAATAACCCAAAGTGCTACAAACGGTTAATTTACAAGAACAATCTAAGGGTGCAAATTGTTAAATGTGTGTGCCTTCATAAATACCTGCTACATTCCTCCTGATCTTACACCCGACATTAGATCAAAAACACACACGCATGGTTCTGAGCGCGTTGTGAATTCACACACGGCTGCTGCGACAGATCCCAGCAGGAGGCAGATCTGCATCCTCAACTTACCTGAACAAACTGCACACATGCTGTGCTGGAGAGACTCCCGGGAGTGGACGAGGTGAAATTCCCCATTCTGGAAAAGAGAAAACGGTGTAAGCAGCTAGTGCGGTTTCACTTGACGTTAAAGTAGAATCTAACTCACAGACGGGATAAACACCATCACCTTAAAAATGGGAAGAAAGCAAAAGTAGGCGGGAAATTAAGCCCCAAAATTTGAATAAAAATCACATAAAATGCCATAACTGGTGTTGTGAATAGGTCTGTCAGCTTAAAAACAAACAAATAGTAACTAACACTGCCTGACACTTTCTGCAACTCCTAGTAGGTCTTTGTGGTGAGTAATCCAGGATTACCCACTACATAAATCTCTTCACAGCCCCGGTGACACACCAGCGTCTGTAAGCATCCAAACACACGAACCCGGTGGGACAAATCAATATAGGACGCAGGAGAATTACTGACCCAGTCTCAAAGCACCAAATTTGGTATTCTATATCAATCATCACACTAAAAACATTTCTATTATTCTCTTTATTTATGCATTAAAAGATCCCCATCTATGGCTAAATACTATAGTATAATCAATGTAAGCTTTTTTAAAGCAGGCGTTAAAGGAAAACACAATATTTATTACAAATGCGAAAGGGAAGACATGAAAAACTATTTTAATGTCTAAGATGAAAAGCGATATTCGTGTAAAAAAAACAACATTGTGAGTCATTCATACGTGAGCCGAAGTTTCCACATGTATTCACTGAGTAAAGGGAGCTTCAAATTGAAATAGTCAAATGACAAATTTCTGCTCAAACACTTGTTTTTAAAACTGATGTAAAATATTGATAGGACTCTGGGCGCGTGCTGGACAAGCTTTGTTTGTGGAGATGGACTCTGGGCGCGTGCTGGACAAGCTTTGTTTGTGGAGATGGAACCTGTGTACTTGTACTTTTTTAGACTAAATGTCATATTAAATGTTGACAGTTAACGTAGTCCACATGCTATGATATTGTAAATATCTAGCCAAGAAGGAAGTGAAGCTAGCGGGAACGACCTTCGGCTGCCGGTCCACGTCTCAACAAGCTCAGCTCGAAAAAAACATGGCGAACATAAAATATACTGCCGCCGAAGAATCTGAATGTTGCTCAGTATAGACCACACGGATAGCATGGATGTAGCTCTGGAGTCTGAAGCGTAGCTTTCCTGTTTTTGCCCCTAATGCCTGACGCCCACCTTTAAGTTACTGTCATGAAGCTTCTTCTTCGTGGTCTTTTTCTTCTTCCCCGTTTATTTATCAGTTTACGGTTGGAAATCCAAATACAGGGCTCACTACCGCCACCAAGCGGAATGAAACAGAAGCACACGACTTTCATAAAATAAAATAAAATAAAAATCATAATTAAAATAAAATACAATACAAATTAAATAAATCAAAATACAATAAAAATAAAATAAAATAAAAAATAGAAATGAAATGAAATAAAATACATATCTTACTCTTTATAACCTAGTTTCTGCTTTATAGCTTTTAAACACCATTTGTTTCTCTCGTAGGACATCTCAATATAGGTAAACACTCAAAATCATGAAACCTCACACTGGTTTTATTGTCCCTTGGTTGCAGCACGTGCAGTTTGAAGCTTTAATTTCTGATTTGGCAAACTACCAGAAAACAAAAGAGAAAAATATCCTGTGCCTGCAAGGTCTTTGCATCAATAATCCACCTCAAACTTGAAAATTGTTTCAGTATTCCAGCCACCTTTAAACACACACACACACACACACACACACACACACACACACACACACACACACACACACACACACACACGCACACACGCACACACACGCACACACACACACACACACACACACACACACACACACACACACACACACACACACACACGTTATTTATACTTGAAATGCAGAAACAGGAATAAAAGTGAAGGTTCAGATTTCAGAAGGATTACTTACGGTTCCAACCACTGCCATTATTTACCAACCTCTCTTTTAAATCAAAAATTTAAACTGTTTTATAAAATGTACATAATTATTAATAATTTCATGATTAAATTAAAGATTTTTTTTCACTAGAACTTCTACTGATCTATGAGGCTGTAGGATCAAATTTTTATTGCATAATTCTTGTAGAACAAATACGAGAGATGGGACACACGACTTTCCATCCATGCCTTTGTGTCATCACACTTAGACTACTGTAACGCTCTTTTTACTGGTCTCAGCAAAACCTCCCTCTCACGCCTTCAAGCCATCCAAAATGCAGCAGCCAGACTCCTAACCAAATCCAGCAGACGAGCTCACATCACTCCAGTTTTACAGTCCCTCCACTGGCTCCCGGTAGAATATAGAATACAGTTTAAAGTTTTAGTCCTGACCTATAGAGCTCTTAACAACCAGGCTCCAAGCTACCTATCTGAGCTTTTATCCCCACACATCACCTCTCGGAACCTTAGATCCACATCTGAAAACCTCCTGGCTGTTCCTCGAACCAGACTGAAAACCAAAGGGGACAGGGCCTTTCAGACTATTGCACCCAGACTTTGGAACAGTCTGCCTTCAAATCTCCGTCTCTCTAACACTGTAGAGGTCTTTAAAAATCATCTAAAAACTCACCTTTTCATCCAGGCATTCCCTCCCTAAATGTTTCAGAATGATGGCTTTGTTCGGGTTCACACCTTCACTTTGTTTATACTCATGATTTTATTTTCTACTTTTATCACTGCTATTGTTTTTCTGATGTTTTTATTGGTTAGAGGTATTTGCCCTGATCTTTATCATGTTGTACAGCACTTTGTGATTTATATCTGTGAAAGGCGCTATATAAATAAACTTTTACTTACTTACTTACTTACTTACATGGCTAAATTAAAGACAAATGCATAGTAAATGATGAGGTATGCAATGCTGCGGTCTCTGTGGAGGACTCGCTGTTATTCAGCTACCAGAACCAGAATATGACGAAACTGATTTATTGTATTGTAATGCTGCAGTCGCTGATTTGACAAGTTACAAGAATTGAATATATTGCACACTTATATTCTCCATGCTGCAAGCACGTAACTTTAACAAAGCTCTTAATATTTTTGAGTTCTTCCTCTGTGTGGTGCACATTTCTCAGCAGGTCATTGGTTGTGTCTCAAGAGAGATTTGCAATGACAACAATAACAATATCTTAGACATTACACCTGCTACAAGCTTTTTTTTCACATTTATCAGCAAAAGCTGTCAAAGTGAAAATGAAGGTCAGCTTTTGCTATAAATGCCCGACACACCATCAAATTAAAAAGTGGATCCTAAATGCAATGCAGCAACAACCGGCAGCCTTTCCTTTCACCGTTTCGTGTCCCACGCATGAGGATGTGCAGAAAAGTTCAGAGTTCCTTCTTGTTTTATTCTTTCTCCTTTTGCCTGCAGAAGGCCAATAAATCAATCACGAACCCAGAAATATCTGATGAGGCGGCCTTTTGTACCTCCTTACTCGTCCATCTCGGAAGGTTTTCACTGTTTTAAACAAATCAGCAGGTCTGCACTTCCAGGGCTTCGTATCCAGACGCGAAACCAGACAGCGTTGCAATTAAACACCTGCTCACAGCATCGATGCAGATTGATTGCCAGGGAGGACTGGATCAACTCAGCACGCCGCTAGTCGATAAGGCCAGTGGATTCCACGAGCTGAAATACTTCCTTCCATCTTATTATTCATGCCAAACGTTTGGCTTTCTTTAGGGAGAAAAAAACGACTCCCTTCGTCATTCCCACGGAGACGGGATGCTTTTGAATCACTTTCATTTCAAGCAGATCAAGTCATTATAACCTGTAGTGGAAATATTCCATCACAAAAGCCTGGTCAAGCGCTGAGAGAAAAACTCATTTTCTACGGCTGGCTAAATGGTTGCCGTGGTAACGGCCTCTAGAAGAGATAAAACACCGCCCAACATCTTCAAATCGGTTTTCGTAGAGAAAAGAATGAGAAAAGCATTTTCCACTGAGAATAATCTACCAACGAAAACATCCTACAGGCCGGTTAGGCACTTTTATTTTAATGGGGCCTGATAATCACAAAGTGCCATTTAAACGCTGTTAGTTTCATATTCACCCGCGACACTTAAACGGGACGTAAACGAGGATGAAGCGGACAGGCCCACTCAGGAAAACGTTCCGTAATGATGCATGCTAAGATATGTCAAAGCTGCAGCCGTGCGCCGACACGTGGAGCTAGAGTTTGTTTAGCTGCTGGTGGAGGGACTTGCATGACGGACTATCACAGAAAAACTGCTATAAACGGGTCGCCCTTCAATGCATGAATGCAAAAGAGTAATGCGGGTTGCTTTTCATGCAATAGAGCACATTAAATGTACTTGTCAGTGTAAAAACTGCTGATTGTAACTCATATCTACCTTCTCTGCTACGAACAATGCCTCCAAATCTGAACGCTTTAGGAAATTTCTGACATTAGTCAGGAAATGGACTCTGCTCTCCGTGGATAATTTGTCTTTTGTAAGGAATGAGCAGCCATTAGAGTGATCTGTATCTCATCTTTCACTGTCATTAGTCTTGTGATGCCTCACTGTGACAAATTAGAGCGAGCGTGGGGTAAGTTGTTGACATTGCTTTGTCTGGATTCCATTATTCGAGCTACACACCTGTGGAGGACATTCACAGCGTCTCCTCTGGCTTCATTTATTCATGTCATTTCTTCATTGTCAGGGTCGGGCGGGGTCAGAGCCAATCCCAGCATACCAAATCAGGATGTCACATTCATGCTTATCAGCAATCCAACACCGCAGAATCACCCCCAGTCTGTGTGTTTTGCTGCATTGTTGGAGGAAGCCCACACAAAAAGCACAAACCCGTCCACCGCCGGGAGGCGAAGCGCCGCGCACGGCGAACGAGGTCGAGTGATGCTCAACAAGAACTGGTTTGCACTAGAAGGACCGCAGTGAAATTCAAAAGGAAGTGTTGTTGTTTCAAACAACCACACTCCAGTGAACCGCCGGCCATCCAACGAATGGAAAAGCAGATTATTATTTAAATAAAGGGATTACGATGTGCATTTTTACTAATTCTCTCCAGGGTAACGTTAGGAAGCGGAACCATGCCAACAACCACATAACCAAATGCTCACGGCAGAAAAATAAGGGAAAAGAACACAAAGAATGAGAACGTAGCTGAAGAGTGTTAAAATACCCGCAGGCGTCCTCTCCTGAAGGGTCATCCCAGGAATATGACCTCTATCTGAACCTCCGGGTCCACCTGCTAGGACGTAGAAGGTGGAGTGATTTCTGTTGCCAGACTCGTCGGTTCCATAGTTCTCTATCTCGAGTCACACAAGTTTGTCTGTTTGTGTGTGTGCATGGTTGTCTTTCCTGTTTATACATGACGTGCAGACTTGGGGTGAGTTGAGATGAACATGCTGTGGGTTCCTGATGTCAGCTAATCAGTCAGGTAACAGTAGATGGGTTTAGACCACATATTACTGTTGTCCAAATTTTTATTTTCACTAATCTTAAAGGGACATTATGGAAGTTTGACAGCCAAAACATGTATAGAAATAATAAATGTCTTCTTCATACATTCTCCTGCAATGCCCTGGTCCTGTAGAAGGAGCCCTGGCATTTTTACTGTTATTGCCTGTTTTTCTGTAAAATCACAGAAAAAGAGAGATGCTCGGGTCGAGCAGGCTGCTTCATGCGCGTTCACGCTCAGGCATCGCCCGTAGCATTTGCTATCCGTAGCTTTAGCAGCAGAGAGAGAGGTAGTGCCAACTCAGCGACTTTGTCGCTGTTCCTAACGCCTAGTGACAAAGCTAGCTACATTTCTGAGGACCCTTAGCTACTTTCTGTAGGACTTTCTTCTAGATATTTCCTGCAAATTAGCAACAAAATACCCATTTTCGCTTTGAACCGTTCTTTGAACGTTGCTTCAGCTGTCATCAAGGACATAATTACAAAAGACATCACTGGTGCTTTAGCTCAGCTAGTACAACGTTGGACTCTTGTGCAGAAGATCTGGGTTTGATTCTGG